CTGGGTCCCCGGCGGGGCTGGCCAGCTGACGCGGGGGGCCGTGGCGGGGGTGCTGAGCGCCAGCTCCGGGGGCTCCTGCGGGAAGCGGGGGGCTGCCCTCCTGGCCCTGCCAGCCCGGCCCCACGCACTGTTGCTGGCCAGCCACTCGTTGAGGTCGATCTCCCGGGGCAGCGCCACCAGCTCCTTGAACCCGAGGTCGGTGATCCGGGACCTGGCGTGCTCCGGCTCCAGGTACACCTTCTTCCCCTCGGCGGCGGGCTTCCTCCCATTGGGCTTGGCTTTGGACTTCCTGCAGAGACAAGGGGGCGGGGTCACGGCAGAAGCAGGCGTGCGGGCCGCGGGCCAGCCCGGGAGATGAGCAATGCCGGGGGACGCCTCAGGGGCTCTGCTCCTGTGGGCCCAGGCGTGGGACGGAGCTGCCCTGCACCCGTGCCCTCCCTTGCCACCGCCAGGGGCCCAAACCTGGAACCCAGGGCGGGCAGGGAGCTCCGGGCCCACCGAAGGGTGGGGTGGTGGCCACACCAGCCGGCTCACCCGCCACATGTGACACCGCGGCCCTGAAGCCCTCTTGGCCCCCACCTGGGGCTGGGGTCCCGCTGCAGGGACACAGGGATGCGCACCACTCGGCCAGGCCCTGAGCCTCTGTGCAGTCCCACCATGCGTCCTGCTGCGCAGATGATCCAGCAGCCCGCCCTTACCGAGCACCCACTGTACGCCGACGCCCCAGGCCACTCCACTGAGGCCTCCTGTCATCACGAGTTCATGGCTCACCCGCGTGACGCCTGCCCGCTGGCCCGCGCTCTCTCCCAAGTAGTGCACGGTGCAGGTTCCAGGCAGACAGGAGTAGGCATGAGCAGATGTTACAGAGATTTGACGAAATGGCCACTTTTCACTAAAATTTTTCTTGGTCAGGAAAATAGTTCTTTTCCATTAAAAATATGCTGTTATAGAACACAGAATGGGCCTGTTATGGCCATTTTTACATGCACGAATACGTAGTTTTGCAACGTCTTTGTTCTCCTACAGCGAGTGTCAGTACCTAACCCGTGAACCAAAGCTCTTTGGGGCTGAGGGAGCCTCAGCCCCACCTCGGCGGAGAAGACGGCGGCCCCAGAACCAGCCTCCCGTCAGTTGCCCCCAAGGCCGGAGCCGGGGCCACGGTGTGTGCGGCCCAGGAAGGCCAAGGAGATGGCACATCCCCTAAGGAGGAAAACTGCCCAACAGAGTGGCCCAGAGCCTGCGGCCGGGACGCCAGCCCGAGTCACCGTGTCTGCCACAGGCCGGAGCCCGAGCTGGGCGAAGTGAGTGGCGTGCCAAGGGGCTGCCTTCCAGGCGCCGCCGCCGCCCCACGTCAGCCAGTGTGGAGCAAGGCTGCTCTCTCCTGAATGCATAGGCCCACGACGTTTCAAGGTTAAGGCTGGGTTCCTGGGCCAGCGTGGGTTGAAAAACTGAAGGAAAAAACCCCTAAGAGCACAGGTTAGTCTCTTGCTTCTTTTACTTGAATGACTGAAATCTTTAGTGGCAGACGTCACAATTTCCAGAAAACAAACTGCAAATCAAACCGTCCTGAGTCTCACTGACCAGAAGAGGCCACTTTCGGCTGTAGACTCTCAAGGAGGGATCACCTGGGACAGAGGATGATCGAGGCAGACTGAGGGCAGGCACAAAGCCCAGTGCGGCCTCCCACCCCAAGGGGCAGCCACAGGCCGCAGGGACGCTGCCTTGCAGGGGAGGGTGGGCGGGCCGAGGACCTGGGCCCGGGGGCTGGGGCTCACGGCTGGGTCCTACCAGCTCATACCCCCGTGGTCTCCAGTGCCCGCAGAAGAGGCGCTCCCGTCGCTGGCCTCCGGGGCCTGGGTGAAAACACTGCGGCCCCGCACAGGGCGCGAACTAGACACTGCCATCCTCCGTCCCAAGGGCTCTGTGTCCCTCCCGCCCCCGCCAGCCCCGCTGAGGCCCACGTTTGGCGGCGCGGGGGGTGTCACACGGGATGGAAGGTCTGCAGCTCCTGACCCTGCCGTTTTTTCCCTGTTTTGAAAAGTTGCTAGTGGTTTATTTAAGAGAAACAGGAAGGAAAAATGCTCCCTGATGCCAGGGAAATGTTCTCCCTTCAGCTTCTCACAGCAGATCTTTGCCTTAAAAGGCAATGTGTGCTTGGCCTCTGGGTGCAGCGCCGGCAGAGGCCAGTCCTGGGCAGGGGCCACAGTGTCCTGGGGACGGGCCCGGGTGGGTTGGAGCTGGAGCACGGGTGTGAACACTGCACAAACACAACCACAAGCAGGGGGCACTCTGGGGGTCCCCACGGCGGGCAGGTGGGGCTGTTCACTGGGGACAAGTGTGGGCACGGGCTTTGGGGGCCCTGCAGCCACTTCCAGTGTACACAGAGGGGGACAGGGCCCCAGAAGGAATGAGGGCGCCCTGGGCTCCCTGGAGATGGGTGGGTGGGGCGCTTTCCTGACCCTGGGCCTGTGCTGCTGAGCCATACGCCACCCGTCAGAAAGCCTGCACTCGCTTGGAAGGTGCCCATGTCCACAGCCCCAAGCACACAGGATGCACCTCCAACCTCAAGCCAACTTCTGCTCTGGTCACCCCTGAGTGTCCATCCGCTGGGCAGATTGCCAACTATAAGCTCGGCCAGGCTTAACCGACCCCCTCGCCTGTGCTCCAAGCGTGTACCTGCCCGTCCCCCGCCACAGTGCACACCTGGCCTGGGCCAGCCACCCACTCGGAGCCTCAGTGTCTGGGTGTGGAGGCTGCCGCCACCACACGTGAGGGTGGGATGAGCGGGGGCCTGGGCTGTGAAGCCACTGTCAGACCCGCCTCCTCGCCCCGCGCTCAGGGCACACACGGCAGCAACAGCGGCCGGGTGGCCTTTACATGAGCGACCACGGGCAGAGCGGCAGCAGGAAGCGGCCGTCACGGAGGGGCGTCACGGGGCCTCGGGCACAGGCCTGCTCGGGGGTGCCACTGTGCTGAGGGTGTGGTGTCCTCGTGCCCACACGTCACTTCCAGGGAGACCGAGAGCCCCTCCGGCTGAGGGCACCCTCCGTGTTTGGTTCTCAGAGGGGCGGGGGAGGCAGCCCCAGGAGGACCTGGGTTTCTGCTCCGTGCGACAGGCGTAGGGGGCTCTGGGCCATGATCTGTGTGGTCAGAGGCCTCCACCTCCTCGCCCCCCCTCACTCCTCCGTCCACACCTGCCCTCCTACAACCAACAGGCAGGAGCGCCCCGGGGCTCCCAGGCCCTGCCTCATCACCCAGCGCTAGCCTGGGGCCCCCAGACCCAGCATGGCTGGGAACAGCTCTCCTGCCAGGTCGGCCGGCCCGGACCTCTCTGCACTGTCCTCGAGTCTCCCTTCACACCCTCCACCACGAGACGATGGCCATTGACCAGGTGGTGGCAGGACTGAGTGACAAGCCGGCCTGGGGCGAGTCTGGGGACGTGGAAGGGCCTGCCGCACCTGAGTGCCACCACCCCAAGTCCTGTCCTTTCTAGAGAGGTGAAGGCTCCTGGCCAAGACGCTCGGCCCCTTGGAGCACCGAGTTTCAGACGACACATGGTGACCTTGGAAGTGGGACAGGTTGCTGCATGACATAGCGGTGGCACCCATCCTCGGTCCCCGAGGCTGCGTCGGCAGAGAGGACGGGACTCTCCGCCCAGAGGCACCAGGCTCCTAAACGGGCCCTGTCCAGCCTAGGCCCAGGCACCCCCTTTCCAGCTTGGGCTCCCAAAAATCCGCAAAAGGGAAGGCTGGGCATGGGCCCGGTGTGGAGGGACAACTGTGGAACCCCTGGGCCGCGGGCAGGAGGGTGGACGCCAGGCCTCAGCCCACCCAGGGTCTGCCCTCCTGGGAGAAAGAATACAGCTGTGGGCACATGTGGAGAACCCCCCCCCCCGCTGTCTTACTGTGGGCTCCGAGGCCGAGTCCCACCCGGCCGACGCCAAACACCTGGGAGGGGCCGCGGCTCCGCAGGAAACACCTTCTGACGGTCTCCCCAGTGGACGCCCACATAGCCTCACCCCTCAGCCTCCCCTGCTCCTGAGGCCTTTACTGCGGGGGGCGGGGGGCAGGGTCCCCACACCCGAGGTGTGGACCCAGCTGGGTCCCTCCGCCAATGTGCCTGGCCTGGCACATTCCTGTCTACATGACCGCGCCCAAGGTCACTCTGCCCAGTCCCCTGGGATGGCCCCCCCCCCCACCCGCTCAGTGTGGCTTGGGCAGGGGTGAGACGGCTGGAGCGTGTGGGAGGGGTCCAGCCCAAGGAATGTGGATGTGCCGCGCCTGCACACAGCCCCGAGTGCTGGGGTGGGCGGCGGCCGAGGGAACCCACTGAACGCCAAAGGCCCACGCCTCAAGCTCAGTTTACTGTCTCCATCCAAAGGCAACTTGGCTGGCCGAGACTCCAGACCCCAGGCACGGCCACCCCTGGGGGCCACCACAAGGACGCCTTGGTTGGCACGGTCCTGCCCTCCAGGGAGTAGCAAGCAGCTTCCGGGTTTTACAAACAAATGAATCCTCCAGGCATCATTAGTGCTGGGCAAGGGGCCGGTGGTGTCCAGGCACAGAGCCGGCTTGGCTGCAGCCAGTGAGGTGGCGCTGGATCGGGGGACGAGACGGGCAGGTGGGGGGAGGCTCCCCTCTCTCCTCAGGGCCACGCCCACACTGCTGTCCTCCGCCCCAGCCCCCCCAGCCAGTGCCTGGCCCGCAGTGCTCCCCAGATGCTGGCACAGATGCCAGAGCGGCCAAGGTTTTCACCAGGAGGGGGATGCAGGGCAGATTCGGCAGGGGGCACCTGCAGGAAGTCAAGGGAGCCTGGAGGCCTGAAGGAGGGTGGGCAAGCCTGGAGATGGGGTGGCCTGGAGTCAGCCTTGCGGGACAGAGGGGGTTGAAGGTCTGGGGTGGGGAGTGGGGTTATGAGGCTCCTGCAGATGTGTGAATGTGGACTCAGAGTAAAACACAGATGCCGGGAAGGTCCCACAGGAAGGCCCCATGGAACACTGGGTGGTGCCATAGGTGGTCTTAGAAAGGAGGAGCCCACAAACAGGGATGCCCACCCTCCCAAGACCCCAAGTTCTATGCAGTGGGACTGGGAAAACTGCACTCTGACACTTAGAGACACGCCCCCGCCCCACCCCGCCGCCTGGACCAGGTTCTCACCGGTCCTAACTGGCCCTGGTGACCAGCCCCTTCCCAGAGCAGAAACTCAGAGGCTGAGGGCTGGGAAGACCCCCACAGAACCCCTGTCAAATCCTCACGGGCTGCACGAGGCAGACGCTGTGGAGAGAGACACACGGGTCACTTCTCGGTTTAACAGCCTGGCAGTCAGCACCCAAACAAAGCACACTTTCACAAGCCGTGTGTCCCCTACAAAATAAGAGACCCATTGAGAGGGAAGCCACCGGGGCAGACAGAGCAAGGGCTGCAGACACCCGAGACCCACCGTCCATGCACATCAGGTGCTCGGGGCACTGCTCCATCCAGAACTGCAGCCACGAGGCGGCCACTCTGCTCGGAGCCCGCACCCCCCTCCACCCATGAGCTAACAAGCTGCTCTTCTAACACCTGGCTGGGCCGCCACCTTCGCTGGGAAGTCTTCTCGGATCCCCCAGGGGGACGGCCTTGGCCTCCTTCTCGCAGACAGCTCAGAGGGCTGGTGGCCCTGCCTTCCTGTCCTCTGTGGAGCCTGTTTCGGCGTCCGGGCCCCTCCCACCATGCCACGTGCACACAGGCACGCACCGGCCCCCACTCGCTGTGGGGACGTCACCGTTCCTGATCTGAACCAGCGACCTGGAGGGGGCACTGCCAGCTTGCCCCACACCTTTACATCACAGGGCAGACTCCCCGTGAGTCCTCCCTGGGTGGCAGAGGGCGGCCCCTGTGGGAGAGGAGGGTGCAAACCATAGGAAGCCGGAGACACAGGTCATAGAGCTCACTGCTGGTCCCACCACCAGCCACACTTGGCCCTCACCCCAGACCCTGACCAAGAGACCTGCTTAGCTTGGTTGCAATTAAAGACAGGATTAGAAAAGCAAAAGATACTTTCACTTAAAAGTTACAACCCACCCAAATTACAGGCAAATACAAGATTATTACATTGAAGGAAACCTGATTTCAGTCTAAACTGTGACACATCCTGGGTGAGGAGGGACAGCGCTCCTGACCCCGCCAGGAGCCTATCCTGGGCCCCCTCCCCTCCCCGCTGGGCTGAGCCGGGCCCCCCAGTGCTCTCCCGAATGCCTGAAACAGACGCTTCCACCCTGAGACAGAAGAGGCGCTGGAGTTTCTCCAAACCCCTCGTGTGGGACACCGGAGGCTCTGCTGCAGCAGGTCAGAAAAAGAGGTGAGAAAAGAGGTCAGAACCTGCTTTTCTGGTAACGCCCCTACAGTAGACAAGGCCCAGGGCAGTTCTCCAGATAAGGCCACTGGTGGACAGACTCTGGTCATCCTGCCCGGGGACCAGAGGCCAGACGCCGGGGGCGGCGAAGGCTCTGTCCAGTAGGTCTGCTGCGGTCTGAGACGTGGTTCATCAGAAAGACGGACACCGGTCATGGGTGCCCCCTGTTCTTACCCAGACCCTCTGGGCCAAACACTTCCCTTTCAGCGCCCCCCACCCCCAAACAGCAGGAAGCGCAGGACTCTAGGGAGAACCTCACTCCAAACAAAGTTCTGACCGTGTCCAGCTGGTTCCCAGGCATCCACAGGTGGGGCCGTGTCTGCCCGGGGCCTATCAGCCCCCCAGTCCCACCGGAGGGGTCTGCACACCACGGCAACTTGACCCAGAGGACAACTACGGCCACTCCCCCCAAGACTGAGCCCTGGGGCAGGGACTAGGGACAGTCACACAGCCCCGCCGTCCCTGCCACGTTCACCTGAGCACTTTGCCGACTGCTTGAAGCACCATCTTGCAGCTGAGCCCGGTCTTCGGGGGCTGGCTGAGCAGAGCCCGGTCTGTGGGGACACTGCTGTGGTCTCCCAGCATGATGGGCAGCGTGGAAGCAGGCTGGGAAAGTGGGAGCCCCGGCACCGGCTCTGCTCCCCGCCGCCCTGCCCTCCAAGCAGCCCGGACTCGCCCTGACTCGGAGCCAGCCACGCCAGCCAATGAGGACAGCGGGGGAGGAAGACGGGCTCTGGCCGGGCAGGGACAAACAGCTGCTCCTTTTACAGGCGGAGGCCAGCCAAGTCTGGTTACACGAGGGAGTGTCTCAATCGCCTTTTCAAAGTGGCGCCGTGCGGGCGCAGCGTGGGGTGAGGCCACTGCCGAGGGGACAGGCATAGCCCACAGAGAGGACCCGTCAGTGAGGCCCCGCCGTGGCACGAGGGCCCTTCCGATGTGGCCGGGAAAGCTCTCTGAGCAGGCGGGGCTGGGCGGGCGCCCCAGCTGGGCTGCCAGGAGCGGCTGACCACGCACCTGCAGAGCGCAGACGCGGGCGTGTGGTGTCTGCATCCACAGCCTTGGGAAGACAAGGCCGGGGCACCCCAAGCAGGAGCCGAGCTGGCGTAGGCAGTGGGCGGTGGAGACCCCAACGGACACAGCCAGAGGCCTCCCGAGGGGGCACAAGAAGCTGTGTGGCCGAGGCCTCCTTTACAGCTGGGCCACACACAGGAGACCACCAGGGACTGCAGAAGCAAACGTGTGAAAGAGGACGATGATCTCCGCAGCCCTCGCCTCCGGCTGACCGTGGGGACAGCCTGCTGCCAACGGGGGCAGCACGGCCACCACGCTTGTCCAGAAGCCCCGCCCAGCGGCAGCACAGCACCCCGGCCTCAGCCCAGGCTTCTGTCCCCGACGCTGCGTCCCACAGAGGGCCTGGCCAACCATCCGTCCAGGCTCTGTGCGGCGGCAACTCCAAAGCCACCGAGAGGACTACCTGACGTGTAGTGGGGCATGCTGACTGCCCGGGCAAAGCTGCGGATGCCGACAGAGCCCCGGCTGCACGTGAGGACCTGGGCAGGAACCCAGGCACCGCGCTCACCCAGTGAGCGAGTGAGACTTGGAGGCCCTGTGTTGGGAGGACACAGCCTCCAGGCAGTTGGAATAACTGAGCAGAAGGTGCCTCTAGGCTCATCTTGTTATATTCCCTGCCCTGGTCCCACAACCAGCCACTTCTTCAAGGAGCCCTGGGTCCCTCTATTGGAGAAAATTAAAGACCGAGACCTGGGACTTCCCTGGTGGTGCAGTGGTTAAGAGTCCGCCTGCCAATGCAGGGGACCACGGGTTTGAGCCCCGGTCCGGGAAGATCCCACATGCCGCGGAGCAACTAAGCCCGTGCGCCACAACTACTGAGCCTGCGCTCTAGAGCCTGCAAGCCACAACTACTGAGCCCGTGTGCCACAACTACTGAAGCCTGCGTACCTAGAGCCCGTGCTCTGCAACAAAGAGAAGCCACTGCAACGAGAAGCCAGTGCACCGCAACAAAGAGTAGCCCCCACTCGCCCCAACTACAGAAAGCCCATGCACAGCAATGAAGACCCAACACAGCCAAAAATAAATAAATTTTTAAAAATAAAAAGTAAAATGAATAAATAAAAATAAAGACCGAGAACTGACCTGGTCGTCCCACTGCTGCTGGGATGTCACTTTCCTAGACCCTCTCAGCTGACAGAGCAAGGAGACGGGTGTGCATGCCAATGTATATGTTTACATCCCCACTCAGGTGTACACTGCAACCACATTAAGCTAGACATGAGTTCATCCTGACGCCTCCATCTCTGATCCAACCCCTGGGGATCATTCCGACCTCCCGCACTGATGGTGATAAACCTGGAGGTTCTGAGTGGCTTTGTGAAACCACAGAATAAGAGGCTCCCGTGCTGTGAAGGCAGCAAAGCCATCGGGCCCAGAACCCTAGTTGAAGGTGCAGGAAAATTTGGTGCACTTAAGAGCAAGTGGGAAAAGCTACCAGGTTGAGTCCAATGAAAATAGAAAAGAACAAGGAAGAGTAATAACTGAAACACTCCAAAAAGACACACACAAAACAGATGAAAACTGTACCTCGATAAACTGGAATTTGAAAACCTCAGAAATAAAGTGATTTAAAGAAAGATTTGAGGGCTTCCCTGGTGGCGCAGTGGTTGAGAGTCTGCCTGCCGATGCAGGGGACACGGGTTCGTGCCCCGGTCCAGGAAGATCCCACATGCAGCAGAGTGGCTGGGCCCGTGAGCCGTGGCCGCTGAGCCTGCGCGTCCGGAGCCTGTGCTCCGCAACGGGAGAGGCCACAACAGTGAGAAGCCCGCGCACCGCAAAAAAAAAAAAAAAAAAGAAAGAAAGATTTGAAAAGAGAGACAAAAGAAAGTAAGAACCACAAGTGAAAGTTCCTGAAATGAAGTCTAGACTCGAAGAAACAGCAAGGCAGTGCCGTGGGAAACATAAGATGGAAAAGTGGATTGTTTTTTCTTTGCGGTACGCGGGCCTCTCTCACTGCCGCGGCCTCTCCCGTTGCGGAGCACAGGCTCCGGATGCACAGGCTCAGCGGCCATGGCTCACGGGCCCAGCCGCTCCACGGCATGTGGAACCTTCCCAGACCGGGGCACGAACCCGCGTCCCCTGCATCTGCAGGCGGACCCTCAACCACTGCGCCACCAGGGAAGCCTGGGAAGGGGGATTTTTTTAATGAAAAAGAAATGAAAATCTTTCCACTTCCCCGATGGAATAACTGATGCTAGACTTGACTTCCACCATCAAAAACCTCAAACTGGGTACAACATACAAGCAACTGGTTTCAGATGCTGGACAATGCGCAGGATGGTGCCCACTGGAAACTGTGGTGCAGGAGGGCAAAGCCTGCACAAACCCCAAAGTCTCAGCCGCTGCGATGCAAGAACAGAAGCTGGGGCTGCTGCCATGCACAGGGCAGGGAGCAGAGGGACGGGGCTTCCCAGAGGGGGGGCTCTAGAAACGTGGACAGAGGGCCATGAAGCCTTTGGCCAACCACGGAGCTGAGGGCCACAGGTTGGAGAAGCGCAGCTACAGGAGCTGTGAGCCCAAGCAGCTTGTATCCCGTATCCTGAGATGTTGCTAAATTCACCTTTTTTCTTTAGCTCTAGCAGACTTTTTCAGTTTCCTGTAATTTTATAAGTAGATACGACCCTGTTATTTCCCAAACAAACTACCTCTTCCTTTCCAATGTTTATGCCTTTTATTTCTGTTTCTTCTCTCTCTCTCTTTTTTTTGCCTCATGGCATCAGCACAGTGCTGAACAGTAGTGAGAGAGCGTCCTCGCCTGGCTCCTGAGCGCAGGCCAAGATGTTCAGTCTAGTCCTTCAGTTGAACATCTGATATGAGCTCTAGACTTTTTCCGGGTGCCTTTACCACTTGAGAACGTCCCCTTCTAGTCCCTGACTAGAACAGTGCTGACTGTTTACGTGAATATTTCGTCTTGCACTGTTTCTACATCTAACTGAGGTTTTCCTCCTTTACTCTGTTAACGTGGTGAATTATACTGACTGATTTTCAAAGGTCAGCTAAGCTTAGACTGCTGGGGAAAAACCCCCTCTGGGTTATGACCTGCTATTCTTTCTATGTGTTGCCGGATTCGTTTTGCTAATACTTTCTTAGGGAGTTTCACATCTGTGTTCACGGAGGACAGTGCTCCGCAATTGTCCTTTTCTTGTTAGGTTCCTGTCTTCTTTTAGCCTCACTGTATTAGTTAGGTAGTATTTCCTCTATGTTCTGAAAAAGCATGTGTAAGAATGTCTGCAGTTTTCCCAGGGAGGGGTGCTCTTGGTGTCTTGTGGGTGGAGGTCCCACACAAAGACCCGTCCTGCCCCAGCATCGACAGCGCTGTGCAGGCGGCAGACACTCCGCGAGGGGCGTGCAGCTCGCGTGCTCCCGCGCCCATGAGGCCTCCACACAGTTACACGGCTGCTTCTCCACCTGCTCCTGGGCCAGCATCACCAGCATCGCCTGGGAGCCTGTCGGAAATGCCAGTTCTCAGGCTCATCAGCCCGGCCGACCGGAAACTCTGCAGAGAAGCAGGGATGTGGGTTAAGAAGCTCTCCAGGTGAACCTGACACGTGCGACGCCCTAAGGACACCTGCTGAGGGCGGGGTGAGCGCCAAGCACATCCCACCCGGAGAGCCAACCCCGCATGGCGGGAGCACCAGGCACGACATAACTCAGAAGATGCAAGAGGAAGGGGAGCGGCAGGGGTTCCAGCTAATTTCAACACTGCTCCTGTGAGGGAACCAAGAGACAACAGCTGAAAGACGGCGGGACCGAGGGCTTCACAAAGGCAGCTGCTTGAAAAAACAAACATTTCTAAATACTCTTTTTATTGTAGCAAAATACACGACATAAAATTTACCATCGCAACCATTTTTAGGTGCACGGCTCAGGGGCATAAAGTATATTCCCTGCTGTGCGACCATCACCCCCATCCACCTCCAGAACTTCTCCATCCTCCCAAACGGACACTCCGTCCCCATTAAATACTCCCCTCCCCTCCCCCAGCCCTGGGCACCCACCGTCTACTTCCTGTCTCTATGGATGTGACTCCTCTAGGGACCTCACGCAAGTGGAATCAGACAGGATTTGTCCTTCTGTTTCTGGCTTATTTCACTGAGCATAATGTCCCCAAGGCTCATCCATGTTGTAGCCTGTGCACCTTTTAAACCAGAAAGCCCTTAAAACTGCCAGTTGGGACGTCTACTCCCAGTCGAGAGGGAATAATGAGGACCGGTTTTTACCTCCTGCTTCAAACAACAGGACACTGGACAAATGTATGACAGTTTTCAAGACACTGGACGTCAGGCAACAGAGCGCGGTGATCCCTGCAAGATGGGAACCGGCGAGGGGACGCTGCAGTGGCCTGCTCCCGCCTGGATGGATTGGCACGGTGGGAAGGGGACCCAGGAGGGCCCCGAGGGATCCCAGTTGAGGCGTCTCAGTGGGGAGTCTGAGACGCCAAACAGCCAGAGGTCAGGGGGCAGCGCACCAGGGGGACAGGACACTGAGCAGAAAGCGCTGCAGAGAGAACTCGG